TGATGTTATTGAATGTTTTAAAAATGGGTTAACAGAATTAGCACCCATCTCAACATGGATGAGGGTCAGGATGCATACTTATTCTGTCTTCTTCCAAAGTTATGAAACTATATGGCATGCATGACCATTGCAAAAGTTTAAATTAACTTAAATTAGCATCTCTCAGGGATAAATTTGAGCTGTTTCTTTGTCCTTCCCTTGTTTCTGATTGGGAGAGTTATCTGTGAGAGAAAATAACAAGGAGGAAAAGAATTTTAGAGAGATTTTCAAGACAGGGTTTCTCTGTGTACCCCTGGCTGTCCTGGAACTCACTGTGGTGATCAGACCGACCTTAAACTCACAGAGATCCACCTGCCTCTGTCTCCGGAGTACTGGGACTAAAGGTATGTGTCACCACACCTGGTTAAGATTAGAGTAACTTAACACATTATAAAACCTAAATGATCAAATCATTTATTTTATGATCTATTGCTGTGGCCTTGGAGTTTGAACCATGCTTAAACTTTATATTTTGATCAAATTCATCATAATTACGATGTCTTAATTTCTCAACTGGGTAGATAAACTAACTTCCTAGGAAATGCTAAAAGTATTAGTGGTGTTTTTCAGAAACACAGTATCTGGGGCTAATTTCCCCAAAATATTAATATTTTCCTGAAAATGTTTTCACTAATAGTTTGCTGAGCCTTCTTAGGATATGAAAAAATCCCCAAGTTTAAGTAATTATAAAAAAGCAAAATGGACCATATACATTCGTTCATGCTATTGCATGATATAAAAAGCTTCCTTGTAGACTTCTGACCTCTCAGACCTGAAACAAAAATCAATGACTGAATGTCTGTGTCCCTGCCACGATCCCAATAGTTGGTATACAACTATTTCTTCCAGACGGTTTAGGGTGCTCGGGAGTCTTTAAAAAGTCATTGAGGAAAGCATCAGGTTGAGAAGAGGATAGGAAAACAAACTGGATGTAGACATCACAAACACCCATTGTTGTTCTTTATTGCTTCTAGGCTCAGAAACCGTTTCTATATTCTTCTCCACAAAGAAGCTGTGTCGGGGTTCCTTTTAGAAATAGTTGTAGACAAAGCCAGTGACCTCCTGCTTCTTCTAGGCTTCTTCCTTTGGAGGACGTTAAGGCATTTCTTGAGTCCCTCAGTTGATTCAATATGAGATGAGATGAACTTTCAGGATGGTCCAGTTAGCATTGATTCATTGGATTAACCTTGCCAAAACCTGCCTCGTACAAGCTTTTTCCTACTCTCAGAGCAGACAGGAGACACCTACCTGTTTATCTCCTTTGCAAGAGGTCTACTCCACCCAGCCGATGTCAGCAGACATCATACACAGGGGAAAGCTCCAGAAATGTTACCTGGACCTCTGTTCAACCCAGATCTGCCCACCAAACTTGCCAAGGACAGAGGACTGCCATTACCCTTCTAGAAGGCACGGAGTATCTGGCACATAATTTCAACATTATACCCTCCTATCATACAGGAACACAGAATGTAGAGTGTAAATGAGAATTACTTTGTACCAGGCCAAGATCCATTAGCTAATTGCATATACTAAGGGCTTCAGTATCCATTAGTGAAAAGGGCAGAGTAACAGCCTTCTAGTACACAAGCTCCAGGATATTGTGACTTTGAGACAAGTGAAAATGTAGGTTTCACACCCGTCACTAATATGTCCTCTGTACCAAACTATAGTTCCAGACTGTTCAAGGTCATGGAAGGAAAGAAGGCAGGCAGGCAGGCGGTGCATGTCTTTAATCTTAGCACTCACTAGGGAGGCAGAGGCAGGTGGATCTCCGTGAATTTGAGGCCAGCCAGGGCTACACGGGGAAAGCCCTGTTTCAAGAAACAAACAAAAAGGGGAAAGAGCCGGGCATTGGTGGCACACGCCTTTAATCCCAGCACTCGGGAGGCAGAGGCAGGCGGATCTCTGTGAGTTCGAGGCCAGCCTGGTCTACAGAGCGAGTGCCAAGACAGCCTCCAAAGCAATACAGAGAAACCCTGTCTCAAAAAAACAAACAAACAAAAAAACGGGGGCGGGGGGGGGAGAAAAGAAAGAGAGGGGAAAATCTCTACCAGCTTTTGGTCATGATTCTTTTAGAACTATAAACTCAGTAGTTCCTTAAAATTCCTCAGTTCAGCATGGCGTCAGAAATGTCTCACTTCAGGGTTCATTACTCAGAATAAGGAATAAGCCTTCTTGACCATACTCCCTTACTCACGAGGCGAAAGAAAAGAAGGAAATTGCCCTGACACAGTAACAGGACCGGCTCTGAGATTGCATATTAATACATTGGGTGCAAAGTGTACTCTGGTTGATGGTGGTAGGGTTTTCTTGTAGCCCGTTCATGCTTGGATGTTTTTGTTGTGATGATTTCATAGAAGTAGAATTACTGTATAGGCTCAGACACAATGAACTGAGCCAGTGTTCGGGGAGTACTGAAAGGCAAAACTCTGTGACCTCAGATAAAATATTAAGAGAACAGGTATTTGCCTGCCTGTGTGTCTGGTAAGAATCATCAGTTACTCCAGGGACATAGAGCAGCAAGGACACAAGACTTGCATTACCACCCAGAAAGCTTTGAGCTTTGTTCCGGTTTGCATGTGAATAGCAGTGACCCACTTCTGTGGTAAAGGTGATAAAACAAGGTTCTTCCTGACAATTGGCTAAGGGAGGTTGCTCTCACAGTAAATATTGTCAGGTTCAGCTCACTCTACTGAACGGAAACTGAGCGGCTCCAGAGTAAATTGACAGTTTTCAAAAACAAATGATTTATTGAGTTCCTCTATTTTTTCATACTAAGTATTGGCTTTGCTACCTATGTGCTTGTCAATATTTTCCATCTAATACAGGAAAAAAAGAAGAGTGGAGAATGCTGATTTTAGAGGCATAGAAGAATAATGTTTTGCCTGTTGTATATGGCCATGTTGCCTGAGGTCTTAAAGGCATCCATCTGGAAGGACTTACTCTACCTAAGATATTTTAAATGTGCATTAAGTTTCGTTTGTCCAGCTGAATAAAAGATCATTATGTAGCCGAGCATTGGTGGCACACGCCTTTAATGTTAGCACTCGGGCGGCAGAGGCAGGTGGATCTCTTTGAGTTTGAGACCGAGCGAGTTCCAGGACAGTCTCCAAAACAATACAGAGAAACCCTGTCTCAAAAAAATATATATCTCATTATGCCAAATGCTATGGGTGAACACATTGAACACATGACCTGTTCTGGAGAATGGTGGGCAGCTGCCCATCTGGGACACACCCAGATGCTTAAGGCATTTGAATAAAAAGCATGGGACTCCTCAAGTCAATTGTGTTCTGATCCTCAAACATCCTAGTCTGTATTTTTCTTTCCCTCCCTCGCCTCGGGTCAGACTCCCAGTCCTACCCATTAATCATATAATATACACCAGAAACTAATATATTCATCACTAGTGAGGAAAAGTATCCTTTGGAGGTGGGAGATTGTCTTTGTGACCTTGGAGAACATGCTGTCTTACCACACCCTTAGAACTCAGTAAATGTAGAACCCTATCCCTTCCTGTGATTGTTACACATTCTTTAGTGTCACTTTAATCTTCCCAGATATATTTTTCCATAATATATTCCCTGAAAGTAAAAGTTTCTCTTTAAGTTCACATCTCGGATGTCAGTAAAGAATACAAGGATCTAGTGTAAATGTGCACAAGGTGTGTCTTTACCCACTAGCTGTCTGCCAGAGCACTGTGTGCAGAGGTCAGAGTCTGCCCCCAATCTGTCTGTTAACTCTCTAGAATATAGCACTCCTTCCTCACTGGGGTAATCTTTAATGTGGTCTACTTAGAGCTCATACACGTCTTCTTTTATGTTTTACACTTGAGCAGAATAACTTTGATGAAACATCGTCAGTCTTGTGGTCGAGCACTGGAACAGAGCTGTTCTTTGGGGTGACTAACAAGAAGCCGTGAATAGGTTTGGAAACCAGAGATGTTTATCATACATTTTAAGAGAATGTGGGACAGAAGCATCACTGAGACTAAGTCATTATGTCTTCAAACTTGCTTAAATTTTACTTTTGGTATTTACAGTTGCCTACTAGAAAGACTTCTTTAGTCATTGAAGGAAAAGAGAAATTTTATACCAATTGCTAAGTTTGTATAAAAAACTCAAGAAGATACCCTTTAATACACCACGTGTTACACAAAGGTGGAGGAGGCAGGATGCCCTCATCCTGTACTCTTTTACCAGGAGAATGCTGGGAGAACATCCTGTGAATAAGTCAGTGTTGTCTCCTGCATCCAAAGAGTTGAATCACTGTCTCATTTTAGGAGGCAGATAAAAATGCACAACTCTTGATTGTAGCAGTGGCAACACGTATTTTGGCCTGTCTTCCTTAGTAACGGGAGATGAAACCAAGACAGTGTGGACGAATGGATAAAGTGTTGAATGGCAGGCTAGGAACCTCTGCTCCGTTCTATTCCCAGCCTGCTGCTGGGTTGCTATGTAAACCTAGATAAGCCACTTGAACTCTGTGTCTCATATTTTCCATCTATAAAAATATAGGTAGAGACATTCTGTACTTGGCCATTTCACAAAGATATCATGAGAAATGGCTTGCTTTGAAGATGTTCAGGCATCTTTTGGTTGAAAAGATGCTGTGTAAATAAATACGTCAATGTCTGTTTCCTTTGGCAGTACTAGTCCTACTGCCCAGCATTTCATAAACAATGTTTTCACAGTGTACCAGAGACCAGGTACCATTAAATGAGCTCTGTACTGAAGTAATGGCAAGAATGGGCTTCTAAAGCCCAGATGGGAATCTTGGGTCTACCGCTTGATCCTAAAGCGACCATGAACAAATGAAAATCCTCAATTGTCTCAGGTGTCAGTACACGAGGATAATGGTAATGCCACCCCAGCTGAGGGCAGTGACACTTTCCAGAAACACATACACAATATAGAATCAAACAAACAAACAAAATGCTTCATGCCAGAGCATGTACTTACCGTCCAGCGCAGTTCTTCCTTCTTAGAATGGCAGAGGAGGGGAAGCATCCCCCCCCCATTGTAGATTCCTCCAAAATGGAAGCTGGTCCTTGCTCCTCCATGGCTATATCTCCTCTTGCCACTCTCACAAGCTTCTGGGCCCAGGGCATAAGCTCTTAGCCACTCCTGTCCATCGCACCATCTGTCATAAGTGGTAAGAGTGTCACAAAAGAAAATCAGATGTTATTCTCAAAAAATGCTAACGTGAGGAGAGGTACTGCGGAATGGGGAATGATCAGTAGCTGACAGCTATTGTCTTGATCGTTATAGAAAATAAACTCAGGGGCTAGAAAGATGGCTTGCTAGTTGGTATCATGCTTGCTATGCAAACATAAGGACCAGCGTGTAATTGCCAGAACTCATCAAAAAAAAAAAGGCCAGGGGAAGTGCACATCCATAACCCCAACTCTGGGAAGACAGAAATCTGGACAGTCTAATCCTTGGGGCTCACTGGCCATCAAACTTAGCGACATCAGTGAGCTCCAAGTTCAATGAGAGACCCTGCCTCAAAAAAATGAAGTGATGGATGATTGAGGAGGATAAGATAACCAACATTCATCTCTGTTATCCACACATGTGCACTGTAAACTACACGCATACACGCATGTAACACACTAATTATGCATAAGCTCAGAAAACAAACAGGAAGGAAGAGAAGAACAGGGGCATTTGAGTAGAGTTGATTCTAACCCCACTTGTCTGATTCCTACAGTGATGACCTGCCAGAAAATGCTGTTTGAGGGTAGCGAAAAGGGCACAGACTGCTGCACACAGGGCAGTGGCTGAAATGCAGGGAAGCCACTCCAGAGCGGTAGCACTGTGGTGGGGCGCTCGCCTGCACCTGTGGAGCCCCGCTTTCCGTGGTGGGGCGCTCGCCTGCACCTGTGGAGCCCCGCTTTCCGTGGTGGGGCGCTCGCCTGCACCTGTGGAGCCCCGCTTTCCGTGGTGGGGCACTCGCCTGCATCTGTGGAGCCCCGCTTTCCACACCCACCAGAAGGGAAAAAAGTGGAATACTGGCATTGTCAAAAACTCTGATTAGAAATGGGTGTTTCATGAGTAAATGGCAGTACAGAATTGTGCAAGTTTAGGGTTTGATGGAAACTATTGATGGGACTTTTGTACTCACCGTAATGTGGGATTTCAGAGACTGAATACTATCTAAGAGGTAATAACATGTTTCACTGATTCTTTTTATTCTTTTTGTATTATTAGAACCAACCTACATCACGATTGATCCTCCTGCATGTGGGGAGTTATCAAACTGTACTCTGAAAGAGAAGGACTGCATTTATGGCTTCAAGCTGGATCACAATGGCTGTCGAACCTGTCAGTGCAAAAGCAGTAAGTAGACAGATGCCCCCGCCTCTCCCCCCTCCCAACCCCGCCCGCGAGGCCTAATGGAATCTTGTCAAAGCATATTACATGATTGAATATCTTTTTCACTCTTATTCAGACTGAAAAGGGGGGATGGGTGATAAACTTAACATAAACAGTTTTGAAGTCCTTTAGGGAAAACCCCACCCTTTCTTATAGTTCGCATCTGGGTTTCACTGTGTTTGATATGTCCTTGCAGAGGTGCTTACAGCCCTGAATGGCTTAGGAGTGCAGCCTCAAAGCCTTAAGTGGCTAACCCTTGCCATGGTTAGCCAGTGACAAGAACATTGTATTTTTCCCTTTCCATACATGGCAGCCATAACCCTTTAAGAAAATGATTTGCTCAGGACCTGGGGAAATGACTCAGTGAGAGAGCACTTGCTGCAAAAACATGGGGCCTGAATTTGTATCCCGGCAGCCATGTAAAAGTTGGGTGTGGTGGCTGGGGAGTCGGGGTTGTAACAGGTAGACAGGAGGATCCCTGGAGCTTGCTGGTCACCCAGGCTAAACAAAAAGTTAAGTTGTATGCTCCCTGTGAGACCCTGTCTCCAAAATAAAATGACAAGTGATAGAGTAAGATACCTAACATTAACCACTTATTACACAGAGACAGACAGACAACACACACACACACACACACACACACACACACACACACAAAGAGAGCTTCATTTTATTGACCTCCAGCTCTACCTCCATGTTGATTCCAACCATGCCTCTGAGCCATGACCTCCGAAGCTAGACAGAATATAGAACATTTCTCCCACGGGCGAAAATACACCCCATACATCTTAAAGCTGTTTTGAATTCTCTTAGTTCCTCAACCAGAATAAGCATCCCGAAGTCCCCTTCTCCATCACCTGTGTGACCTGTCTTCTAGAGCTTGCTCTTTGCCACCTTCTAACACACAGGGTGTCATTGTCCTTACCTGAAATGTGGCTGAGAGACAACAAGACTCCAGAATTTGGTCTGAATTCAACGCTGTTCCTTGCATGTGTTTGTTCGCATTAGCTCTGTGGCTTGCACACTGTGGACTGGTACTGAGTTTATAAGCAGCCAGTGCCTCTAAGTACTTTTAGGTCAGCTGCTGTTAGGTGCTTACCCGTTCTATGTTAGCATGTTGCAGTTTGGGGATCCTATTAATGTAGGGCCAAATATAACAAGAAATTATGCCAATAGTTTCAGGCCATTTTCTAAGTAGACAAAATTGGGTTTGTTTTTGTTGTTTTAATCTCAATAGTGTAATCTTGTGCCATCTGCCTCCCGGCTTATGGTAAATAAGTACACCTTACATGTCCTCCTAAATCACGGAATTAAAATAAATTAAACTGAACAGAAACCAGGACAGAACTGGATAGTACCAACAAACTTCCTGTGTCGTGATCCTGGACTCCATCTCCCTCTTGCGATGGCACCTGTCAGCTCCCGCCCAAGGCCTTGACTCACACTCTTGCAATCCTCTCAGAATCCAAGGCTCATCACACCTGCAAGGTTCCTTAACTGAGAACTCGTATTTTCAAAATAAACCAGAGCTGGTAGGAAGCCATTGTTCTTCCTAGACTTACTTTGGGGGAGTTTGGGATCCTCTGAGTGACATTTGTCCTATTTTCTGAAGTCTTTCCCTATCTCTGATCTCTCCCAAACACAGACAATGATTCTATAATAAGCAACTTCTCTGTGGGCTTGGGGGTATGATTACCCTGGGCTTAGAAGCCTGGCCTGACTGATGGCGAGAATGTACACACCCTGGGGTATCAGCTCTCTCAGTCTTAGGTGCCTCCTGACTGTGGCAGATCATCATCTGTGCCAGTATTTTTGATGGATGATCTAACACAGTCTAGGAGTCCTCTCCAGACTACCACCATGCCATTTGCACAGTGGGTCACTGCTTCAAGGGTTTATAAACCCGGCATGCTCAGAATTGTTGCCGTCTTGGGGTTTCAGGTGAGCCTCTCCACCTGGGGTGGTCCTGCCTTCCTGCACCTGCCTCTGCGTGCTGTAAGGACCAGTCCCTGTGCTGCCTCTCAGACGTCCCTTGGGGAAGCCAAGTCTGCTGGGGAATTGGCCTTGGCAGCCTCGTTTGTTTACGTAAATCGCCAACCTTGTCTTCTTAGCACCGGGATAATTGGTGGTTGTGTCATGAAGTGTTTATTCTGCAGGCCTCCCAGTGCCTCTCGAGATGCACGTTCTTTCTCAATATGGGATCATACCTATTTTTTCCCCCTGAACTTCCACCAAGCCTAAACACACAGAATTCATGTTCATCGGCTGCCTCACTCTCTTCACCATCTGGGCTGCGTGATTATGAGATTTTGGTCACCCAGCCACATTCATGTCAGGGAACCTGTGGAAGCGGTTTCCCTCGTTTGTCACTGAGGCCAGTCAAAGGCAGTGGCCAGGCTTTCAAGCTGGAGACTGAGGAAGCTGCCCCCTTGCTCTCTGCCTTCACATTGAGTGCCTCTTGTATTTGAAGTTTTCAAAGGCATAACTATGGACACTGCTTGTCATAAACTTCCGTTTCATTCATATTGAGGAAGAAATATATATAGGAGAATGTTGCATTTTGTGCCTATGATTTTTCTACATAAAAATACTACATTCAATGTTTGAAAGTTTTACTTCCTTTTAGAAACATGAAGTCTTTCTCTTCTCCCCATTTTCTTTCGCCATCTGCCCTGCTCCAGGTAATGTGTTGAGGGTTCAGACCGCTGTAGTCAGTGCAACACGTGACATCGGGGACAATCTCCAGAAATGAAAGACCACCACGCTAAGCCTAGTGCTGGAGTTTGCAAGAGTAACTCCTTCCCAAAGATTCAAGCTCTTGGTCATAGGGAAGTAGGACGGTCACTGCCGTGTGTCAGAGCATGCTTAGGACGCCCAACTTTGCTGTGCAGTGAGTGGCCGAATGAAGAAGCAAAGAACCTTAGCCTCAGGGATGCCTCTGAGTTAGGGCTGTCTGATCCCCCTTGGAGGTCTAGCTGCTCCAGTCAGACGCCCTTCCCATCACACTGAGCTGCCTGGCCCGGGGTTGGTCTTGGCAATGCACTTACTGCTCTCCTGAACGTAAGGCTCGAAACTGAAGTTACCAGTTTGTCCGTATCTCACACAAGTTGCAGCATGAATTCTGCCTTCACCTCTCCGTTCCTGTTGGCCATCCTGGTGATTTTGAGTCAGGGCAGACTGCAGCGGAGGGATTGGGATGAGGGGCTCTACTTGTATCCTTGACTCTGTGTCCTCGTCTGTAGAGGACAGACACTGGTCCCTAAGTAGTGGGGTATTTTGAGGACTAAGGGAATGGGTGCCAAGCGACTTTTATTAGCTGGCAAATGATAGCTGTCTCCTCCACACACCAGCTGCTTATACCTTTTCAGCCTAAGCCTGCACACATGGAAAGTGCCCAGGCCCCTCCCTTCCCCCTTGTCCTCTCTTACCTGCCCATAGATCTTCTGGCCCTTTCAGGACACACCCACCCACGACCCACCTCTCTCGCATTTGTGCCTCAAGCTTCTTCCTCTTCTTGGTTTTGCTGAGATAGTTCCTTGTAGTCCGGAGAGTGGAGTGTTCTTTTCCTCGCTGCATCAGCTCAGTGTGTATTTCATCTGGGCTGAAATTCTCCCTGACATTAGTTTTGTCTCCATCCTATTAAAACCTTTTACATACAGAAGTCCTAACCATGCAAACCTAAGTTTCTCTTGGGCATTATACCCGGCTGTGTTGGCATCAGGATTTCTTAAAGCAGGGCCTGAGGAGATGACTCAGTGGGTAGAGTACCTGATACACAAGCGTGAGGACATGAGTTTGTGTCCGCAGCTCCCACACAGAAAGCTGGGCGCCACAGCCTGGCAGGCAGAAACAAGAGGATCCTGAGGGCCCATGACCAGCCTGTCTGGCCAATCACTGAGCTCCAGGTTCAATAAAAGACCTTCCCTCAAGTAAAGTGGATTGAGACCAGGGAGAAAGACACTTGATAGTGAGCTCTGGGCTCCAAACATTAATGCGTAAGTGTGTATGTATCTACACACAGGGGAAAGGAATTCTTTAAAAAAATGTCACACCTGTGTCTCCCCCTTCCTTCCTGGTTTGCCGCTCACTCACTCACCTGTTCTGTCATTTGTGTAGCATTTGTTTTGTGCCTACTATAGCTAAGACTGTGAACATAACATTTTTATAGAAGATTTTTATTTAAAAAGCTATCAAAGATGATTTTAAAAAATGTCTTTAGACTTGATGTTATAGGCAGTTGGTTTGGGTTTAAAACAAAAGCCTTAAAGAAGCATGTCCTTCAGAAGGGTGTGTTATGTGCCACGCATGGTAGCGAGCACCTATAATCCTAGCTCTTGAAAAGCAGAGGCAGTTGAATCATTTGTTTGAGGGCAGAGTAAGTTACAGGGCAAAATAGTGTCATGCAAAAATCTAGGGCTGGGGTTTGTCTTAGTAGATAAAGCACTTAGTCGCCATGCAGCAGGCATTGGTTCAGTCCCTGGGGACCACAAAATTGAAGAACCTGGGCAACACAAGACGCAGGGTGTTTTCTTGAACACCGTGTCATTCTGATGTTTTAACCTGTAGCAATAACATGCCTGCAGAGCTGCTGAGCAGAGCAGGACTCATCAAGAATTTAAATCACCCTGACTCAGTTTCTCAAAGACACATTTGCAATACAGAGGAGGATGGTAAGAAATGCCAAAGAAAGAGGAATGCCAGCAAAATGAGCTAAACTCTTTAAAAAGCTAATAACATAACAGTTTGTTGACACAAGCGTTAGTAGCATTAACTTTCTAACAAAGATACTTGTTGCGGTCAGGAAGATGAGTAGACTTCAGCTTACTGCCCAGATTGCTTATTAGTTGAGTGGCATCCGTCGTTTAATGTCTTACTACCCACAGCTTTAAAGCAAATGAGTTTGACTGGATTATTGGTAACCTCTTTTCCAGTTTTAGCGTCCTTTGTTTTCGGGAGCCGATACTGCTTTTATCTAGAAACCGATTCAGACATACAAAGCGGATAGTAGCAGAGAAGAAGCTGTGTGTCCATCAGTGGCAAATGTCCCAGGAAGGTTGTAGCATCCAGGAAACAGGTGCCACAGTTTATAGCATTGTACTTCTCAGCTGACACCATATTACTAGGCAGAATTGGGACCAACATTTGCATTTTCAAATTTCTTTATCCAAGAGTTTCAGGAACTTCATAATCATTCTTTTTTTTCTTCGTCCTCCTCCTCTTCCTCCTCCTCCTCCTCTTCTTCTTCCTCTTCCTCTTCCTCTTCTTCTTTGTTTATTTTTTGGTTTTGTTTTTCAAGGTGGGTTTCTCTGTATAGCCTTGGAGCCTGTCCTGGAACTCACTCTGTAGACCAGGCTGGCCTCAAACTCACAGAGATCCGCCTGCCTCTGCCTCCCAAGTGCCGGGATTAAAGGTGTGCGCCACCACCTCCTGGCTTCCGTGACCATTCTTAATTGATTACAGGTTGGTAGAAGTCTCCACTGTTCACAAGTTTGAAGTGTAAGGCACAGCTCTGGGTGATGCACCCACTTTGTGTTTGCATACGTGCAGGTTGTGTTGCGTTCACTGACGGTGAGGTATGGACGATGCCACTCACAGTTGGGTATCTCTCGGCCCTGAAACAGACACGTCTTTTCCAGAAGGAAAGGCATTTCCTGTGTGCTCGTCGTTGGTTAGTCACAGTGTATGGTCCCGATGCTTTGCCTTTCTTGTCAGTTTCTCCTGAGTGGTGATCGCTTCTGCCAGTTAGAAAGCTTACAGGAAACCCGTAATGCCTAAAGAACAGCAACATCAGGAGGCCACCCGTGTTCCACAACCGCCATAAGCCATGTGCTAAAGCTTTGTAAACAAATTTAGAAGTCCCACCTCCTAATCTGTCTGTCTGCTTTGATGGTACATTTCCTTTAAGGACAGTCCATCATTGATAAGCGTGGACATCTAGGACTGCCATCCAATCTGCTGTGTTCTCCGTTTTAGAACAGCAATATGGTTTTGTTTTGGGTTTAGGGTTTTTTGTTGTAGTTGTTGTTTTGGGTTTTTTGTTTGTTTTTTTTTTTTGAAATGTTTAACAAGTGACAGTATTTTTAAAACTATTTAGTATTACCAGAGAAAGCTTGGTCAAGTTCTTATTCCTCTACCGATGAAGCAATAGCTGGTGACGTGAAGGAGAAGGGACATCAATAAATGCATTTATTCAGCAGTTAGCTATCGCCCCACATCATGCCAAGTACGATAAGCCCTGAACTGTGGACACAGAAGAGAAACTGCCCTAGAGCTCTGTTTCCTTTTGCTGTGGAGGAGAATTGTCTAGTCTAGACTAGAGCTGCAGAAGGATGGCTCCAAGTGGCATCACAGTCTACCTACCTTCTGGTGAACGTCCTGTGTCTTTGTTAAACACTTAAGCACAGCAGCTTTATCTGGGATCCTTTCCGATTCATGGGTTCACATGGTGGTCATCCTCCCAATACTGTGACAAAATTCCGGAAAGAAATGACTTCTGTGGAAGAAAGGTTTGTTGTCACTCACAGATTCCAAACTTTGGGTCTGTTCTGTGGGCTTGTGACCAGTCAAGTCCATTATGGCTGGAGCACATGGAACCTTATGCTTGCCAGCAAGTAAGAGAGGAAATTGGGAAGGAAAAGGTTAACGGATCTGCTGTAAGAACTTGCCTCTAGTGCTCTAGTCTCTCTCCCTCGGGCCTCATAGCTGGAAGATTCCACCACCTGGAAGTGGCGAGGCAAACGGACCACGTGGGCCTCTGGGGTTTCTTTCAAACCATAGCATATAAAGGCAAATATAATTTTTAAAATTCGTTAAACTTGACGATGCTTCCATAGCTGTTAAGGGTGAGTGGGGAGAATTGTAGATCAAGGGCTGCGGAACGGGTTCCTTTTTACAGACTAGAAGCACAAAAGCAAGTGTCCCTGCACCCCAGAGCTCTGAGGAAATTACCCCCCGAGAATGTGGCAAGCTCTAGGCGTATTTGTAATCCATCTATTCCTGGACATAATCCACCTCATGCCTTGACTTTAAAAGTGTTATAATAGAAAAACCGGATCAGCTTGGGTCTCTGTGTCGGGACAGAAACGTGGCTCTGACTCCTTGTCCTTCTTCCACCATTCCTGTCATAACAGGAGATGGAAAGTAATGACCTGCCTCCAAGTCGTGTAATTCCAGATTTCAAATGAGCCGCTTAGACTTCCTCTTCTAAGGATACAGATGAGCGCTCAGTTTCCTCACCGTGCGATTCAGACCTGCGAGGTTACATTAAACACATGTAAAGTTTCAGACGATGGCGAGGTAGAAAACTCATACCACTGACCGCACCCTCCTTTATAAAAGACGGCAATGCTAAGATCCCCGAAAGAGTCTCTCATAGAAGTGTTTACGTAATACACAGACGACCCGTTTCACCTACCAGTTACAGTTAATGTTTGATTTCAGGCTGTGGGACTTGGCTGCATGCAGAACAGGATGAAATGTGTTGTGGCTTTGTTAGTGACCCGCGCATTAATGCAGTATTTACACATCTGGGATGTCCTAGTGAAATAACAGTGTGTCAGCCTCACAGCAACAGCCCATGTTCTTCCTCTTCCCCGTGTACAAAGCATCATTTAAGTATTGACATTCTCACGCTTCAGCCTCCTTCCACGGCCCATGCTCTTCCAAGCCCCACATGTAACTTAGGTGGGCCTTGAGCTGCCCTTACTCCTGGGGCACGTTTACCACCCTGCCATTGCTATCCTCCCTGGCTCCCAGGAGTTTCTTCTGCGAGGATCACTTCTCCCATTTCGCTTCAACTTCTAAAATAGTGCAGTAAGCGGCTAACGGAACACAATTAGACATCACTCCGAATTCTGCTAACAAGGGACACTTTAAATGTTTCAAGTAGTCGTTAGGAACACATTAATATGAATGTCCCCTGTAACGTACGTTTTTTAGACAGCTGAGTACATTGCCGTACCTGGATATTTGTCAGCATAGTGGGACAACACAGCTAAGCAGAACACTGGTTGCTTGCTTTCTATCATGTAGCAGACAGGCTGTTTTTCAAAGAAAGGAAGAAGTCCCAAGTGCTACTACACAGAGTCTGTCATGTTCTGTGGTGTGTATTGTGAGCCCGCAGACATATGTGTTACCTCTGATAAAATGTCTAAAATGAATCTGGACTGTCATGTTAGTGTAAATTGCCATCCGTGGTTTGAGGTGACTGATTAAGCAATATGAAAAACTGCACCCAGTCATTACTTATTCATGGTGCCCAGCCCGGTCTTGGTCCCAGGCCTAGCAGACTCAATTAGGCTTCAGAAGTCCCTTTCAGAGCTGGACTCTTTCATGTGTCGCCACCAAAACCCAGAGCCACGTTGTGAGAGCCGTGAAATAGGACTGTCTGTACCTGTTAACCGTGGTCTGTGCTCCAGCAGAAGTGAAATTTAACTCTGTAAGCTGGGATAATTCAGGGCAGGCATCAACGCCTCACATCATGCTCTCTGGCTATTGTCTCTGGAAGAAACTTGCCATCCGTGTGTCTCCACAGGGGAGGAACTATGCTTAGGCCTTAAACAGGGCTGCACCTTGGACTGTCCCTATGGTTTCCTCACCGACGCCCACAACTGTGAGCTCTGTCAGTGCCGCCCACGGCCCAAGAAGTGCAAACCCACAATGTGCGACAAGTTTTGTCCACTTGGATTCCTGTACGTATTTGTCAGCATTTTTGTTTTCCCAATTCAGAAATTAAGTGTGACTTGCTGAAGTGGTCATACCTGTGTTGGGGGCTGTTTTGTGTGTGTGTGTGTGTGTGTGTGTGTGTGTGTGTGTGTGTGTGTGTGTGTGTGTGAATGAGCCAGTGGTGGTGTGATTCAAGAGGAACCCCACTGTTTATATCAGGGGATTCAGAAATGAGGGAAATCCTTGCCTCCAGATACAGGCGATACAGGCATCAAGTTCTGACTTTTTGTATGAAGACGGTACAGGTACACTGTGGGTAGGTTATTAAATATCCTTTATTGAGTCATACTCAAATCTGGATTATTCTGTGGGGAAAATAAACACTACCTAAAAAAGAACTGCTCTGAGCTGGCTGTGGTGGTGCACACGTTTAATCCCAGCACCTGGGGCAGAGATAGGCAGATCTCAGTGAGTTCAGGGACAGCTTGGTCTGCAAAGTGAGTTCCAGGCCAACCAACATAGTGAGACCCTTCCTTTAAAACGCGAGAAGAATAAGAAAACCACCATTCAGATTCTGGTTTTATCAATCTTACATTTCCTCTCTCCTATTTAGTCTTGTGGCTGGTGTGTGTGTGTGTGTGTGTGTGTGTGTGTGTGTGTACATATATGCACATGTCTTATATCATGAGAGTCTCAGATTCATCCTCTTTTGTCCATTTTCTTCTATTCTGCCTTTAAAATGTATTAGGTAGAACTTGAGCGTAATTCTCATTTTAATTTTAATTTTTTAGAAACATTATTTCTAAAAAATATTTCTACAAAAAAAAAAGAAGAAAGGAAAAAGCAGACTTGGTGTCAAAGTCTGTAATCTCAGGAGCTGGAGTCTATATCTAGTTCAAAGCCAGCCTGGTGTACATGAGACCCTGGCTCAGGAAAAAAAAAAATTGTTCCCAGCATTAATCATCACTATTCTTAATTGTAAGATACAAGTGTGATACCAATACAGATACGTTATTTGGGCTGGAAAGATGGCTCGGTGGAGTCTGAGAGAAGTTGTGACACACACACACACACACACACACACACAAAGCGTGTGCACACACACAAAAAAAGTAATTTCAAAATACAATCATTTTGTAACTTAACTGCTGATAAAATTATAAAGTACCCTCCATCCCAGTAAAGCAGTTAATAATTAATAGCTTCTAAAACCTCAGGTTTTTATTAATTTTCAGTATATACTCATTTACTTACTGATGGATGTGTGTGTGTGTATGTGTGTATGTGTAATGTTTGTGGTGTGTGTGTGCAGAACAGCTGGCAGCGTTTGTAGGGGTTAGTTTTCTTCTTTCACCCCGCGGGTTCTGGGGATCAAACGTAGTTCATCTGGCTTGGTGGCAAGTTCCTTTTTTCCCACTGGGCCGCCTTGGCAGGGGGAGCCTTACAGCCTCCTGTGTTGTATGTAAGCTTTGGTAGTTTAAATTTTTACTAGCAAGTGGCCATTTGGGGAAGCTCACAGCCTTGACAAAATGTCCCCAGTACTAATCTCCCAGCATTGACCGATGATACGCCCCCCACCGTCCTGTTCACCCGCAGCTTCACTTCCGTTCTGTCTGCTGTGGTCTTTCTAATTGAGCCCTCGCCTGTGACACTGGGAGTGGCCACATCCCAGAAGCACATAAATGCTCAGGCGGTTCTAAACCTTCATGAGAGCTAATTACACCTCACCTAGGAGTGCGGAGTGCAGGTGTCCCATCAGTCTACGTAAATGGTGACGTTATTGACCCTTGGTATGAGGGCTTGGGCATCACTGGAGACTTTTTGATTTTTCTGACCTCTGGCAACATTTTAATTACCCAGGAAGAATAAGCATGGCTGTGACATCTGTCGCTGTAAGAAATGCCCAGAGCTGCCATGCAGTAAGATCTGCCCCTTGGGCTTCCAGCAGGACAGTCACGGCTGTCTTATCTGCAAGTGCACAGGTAAGTGTGAGCCCTTCCTCCTTGCAGCAGAAGGAAAGATACAAGTGTCACAGTGGGACCCTACCACAGGACACCCCTTGCCTTTCATGATAGAATTAAAAGGGCTGAGAGCGGAATTTAACTGCAGCACGTGTGGTAAGCACGGCCACCGAGCTAACCACTTCCTACGGCTCCACTTTTACTCGTCTCCTAAGCATCAGCCTGAAGCTGCAGTGTATATCAGTCTCCACAGAGGGAACCACTCTCTTCGGGAGTGGGGCTGACACAGGAAAGAGCTGTGTTTAGCATCCTTGGGAGTGGGTGTATCTAAACTCCTGCTCGCGTAGGTGTTCCCTAGTAAGAGAGTTTTCGTGAGAATTCAGATTGCCTTGAGAAGCTCACAACAGGCCAGAGCGTATGTAGGCAAGCTTCCAGGAGACTCGACTGCGGAGCCTTCCTCCTCCAGTGACATTCCCGAAACCACTGAGTGTTCATCCAGAGCTCTCTGTCACCCTTCATCACGGCCCCGGCCCTGCCTCTCAGTCCAGTTTGTTGTTGTCAGGTGATACGCCAGTCAAACAATAAAAGGTCCCTATAGCATGCTTTTCTTCAAAGTTGAACACTTACTTTTATGGTGTTTTGGAAGGGTTACAGTAAACAAAAATGGGGGGAGGGAATAATGTAGTCATTCACTTCAGCCATCTTACTAATCAAAAATCTAGTCGCTGTGAGGGGCCCAGAATCCCTCCCCCATTGCATGAAACTTCTAGAATGATGAATCTCTCTCTCCTCTCTCTCTCTCTCTCTCTCTCTCTCTCTATATATATATATATATATATAGTATATATATACACACACACACATATATATATATCCATTACAAAGGCAGTGTTTGTTTATTGTATAAAATGTAGGAAAGGCTTCAAAGTCAGCGATATTCCTCCAGCATATTTACAAGCTCCTTCTATTGTATTTCAGGATTGGGGGTCTATGGATTTGAATTCTCTTCCTGGGCCTTTCCTGTATCGTTGACTGTCCTCCCCAGGCCTCTTTTTTCTGGTGTCTGGATCCTAGCCCACGTACAGGCACTACAAGCTGTTTCCCCCATGCCGTAACTGCTTCTTTACCTGGCTGCCTTCTGTCTGTCCAGAGGTCCCTCCTTCAGCCGGGCCACCTGTCCTGTCAGGCACATGTCTGTCCATGGATGGCCATCATCATAAAAATGAGGAAAGCTGGCATGACGGGTGCCGGGAATGCTACTGTCACAATGGAAGGGAAATGTGTGCCCTGATCACCTGCCCAGTGCCTGCCTGTGGGAACCCCACCATTCGTCCTGGACAGTGCTGCCCGTCATGCGCAGGTAAAAACTGGTTGCCCTCTTGCTGTGCTAGACCACCTCAGCCTTGTGGGGGCCCTGTACCCCTCTGCGACTCTGGGGGAAGTGTGGGGTCTGTCCTCAGGACACCTGTCAGCTTTCTGTGACTTCTGTTGTTAATAGCCAAAGAATAAGCCAGATATTGTGAATAATTAGCCCGAGACCAGAGAAAATCCTAAAGCTGTGGAAATGGTTCTCCACAACTTTTTGAATGGTTTACTTGGTTATATTGCTCTTTGGACTAGCTCTT